TCAGCCATGTGGGAGTCCAGTGCCCTAACCACCATGCCACCTGCTGGCCCCACTTTTAAGGATTTTTAGCACACGTTGCCCATTCGCCTTCGTTACTGCCCTATAAAATACTTACTAAACTGACTGGAGCTGGTACTAAAAGCAAAAGCAAAACATACTCTACCACCCCCCAAAATATCTTTATACATTTATTTTATAAAGCAACTGAAAGAAAATATAAAATGTTTTTAAGTTGAACCAATCTGATATTATATGCAGTTCAAACTCCCATCTGACCAAAGGAAATCCACAATTACTATTCATTTTCAAAACCATTAAGTGAGCAGTATATTGTTAATTACAGGCATTTTTCACATCAGCTGATAGCTTACTCTCCATTTACAGAGTCCACATTTTAACTTGACACTTAAAGATTGTTTTTCACAAGAAATACAAGCAAACCAAGTATGTGTATAATTTTCGTGACCCAGATTCAATGTTCAAAGAAAATTTTCATAAGGTTACACCTTGGAATAAAATAACGAAATAATAGCAAGTCATTTTCATTGTTTTGCAACGTCCTAAAATGTACTTCCAAGTGTTCTACATTCTTATACCATCTTTCCATTAAAGCTTTTGAAAATGCTTACATGGAAACAAATGAGATGTTCTGTAAAGACAAAAATTGCTGAAGAAAGTGCAACACCAGTGTGAGGCAGTACTTCAGCTTTTTATGAGCTATAGAAAATCTGGTATTAGTTTTCATATTGAGCTAGAGGGAGATCTCAGCTGGAAATAAGAGCTTAAGAAACTGGAAATAATGTAATAGGGGAAAATGAAAAAGGGAATTGCTAGGATTGGAGTGCAAGTATTCTCTGTCTCTTTCTCTCATAGAAAAATAAACTTAAAGAAAAAACTTTAAGATGTTTTGTATATTTTTTTCTCAGAATATACCACTAAAATTGAATGCCGCATAGTAAACTAAAGAAATTTTTTAAAAATGGAAAAAAATAAATAACCTAAGAATTTTAATTAAGTTTGTAAGCATAAGGAGAATAAATCACGTAGGTCAACAATATTTGGGTTTGTTCTTATTCTAATAGCACTGCCCCACCTACCTTAAAAGACATCTAGAACAAAAAAGGGTATAAATAAATTCATGAATAAATAAATAGGAAGACAGCTTCCTCCTGCTAAATGCCATTGCTGAAGATAAAAGTCACAGACTGAATTATGAATAAGGAAATTGACAAATAGGTTTTCCGTCACTTCACTTTTAGTGGTTTGTGTTTTCTCGGAAATGCACAGCACAAAAATACTTGAGTTACTTGTTATATGCAGGGCCAGCTGTGGTCTAGGGTGCTGGACACTGCAGCTGAGCAGGCTGAAGCCAGATGGGAGGCCTGAGCTTGATTCATAACCCTCTCTAAAAGCTAGGTACAGTGGCATGCACCTATAGACCCAGTTACTCAGGGGGCTGAGGTAGTGAGGCCCCATCTACAACACTACACACATAACCCTCCATAAAAAAAAGGAAAGAGGGAACCAGCAGTTAGCTTAATGGCTATGTCGCTGGACTCCCACGTAGTCGACCGCGGTTCACGTCCCAGACCCGGTGGCTTAAAACACACCGGGCGCGTGTGCGTGCATGCCCAAGATCCCGAGAGGAGAATGGAGGAGAAGGGATTGCGGTGTGACCATCCCCCCTGGGGGGTGATTTCTCGCTTTCTGTCTCTATGTCTCTCTCTGTCTGTCTGGTGAGCGCACGCTCCCTACAGTGAAAATCTCTCAAAAAAAAAAAAAATGCAGCGCTCTAGGCTTCACATCTAGAGATGCTGATTTAGAAGGTCAAGGATCCAACCCTTTGCTTTATCAGCAGCTCTCCAGGAGGTTATGAATGTGTATGGTCTATATTTTATACTTGGAGAAAACTGCCTAAAATTAGAGACACATCTCTCTACTATGATTAGTGTTGTTCCCCCTCACCCCCAGTAATAAACAAACAGGAATCCTTAAATTTTTTTTTTTTTTTAGAGAGGTTTTTGCTATAGGGTGCTTGCCAGAAAGACAGAGAGAGACAGGAAGCGAGAAATCACCCCCCAGGGGGATAGCCATGCTGCAATCCCTTCTCCTCCATTCTCCTCTCAAGATCTTGGGCACGCACGTACACGCACCCAGCATGAGTTTAACCACCGGGTCCAAGACTTGAACCACAGATCAACAACATGGGAGTCCAGCGACATACCCATTACGCCAACTGCTGGTCCACAGAAAGGAACCTTTAAATATGCTTTAGTACTGAACCACCGGCCTTGTAACCTTAAGTATCCATTAAGTTGTCCTAATGAAAAATTCTATCTGTTCAACGGGGATCAAAACTGGTTTTCATTAAGCCACACCTGATAGCAATGTAGCTGCAAATGTTTGTAAATGTACACAATGCTTTAAGATTACTTTATAAGAATGCTTTACAAATGCTGCTTACAATTTAGCTTATGGGAGACTTAAGAGGCTTGCAAAAAAAATTATGTATATTGCTCAAAAACATTCACTACTGTATCTAAAACAAACAAAAATTCTAATTTTCTCTCATTTCATTTGCTATCCCAAACCCTCCAGATGTACTGCCTAAGAAGCTCCTGATGGGATGGGCACCTTTAACTTTAAGATCATGACCGGGAATTTTCTCTACAACTCTTCCTTGTTGTCTTTCAGTTTCCTTCTCTTGATAACCAACTGCAAACCCCTTGTCCACACATGCATATGCCACTTTGTGGGTAAGATACACATTTTTGTTTTTTTTTCCTGGGAGTTACAAATTGCTTTTCATTCATCCTCAAAATGAGCATTTCTGTGGGAACGCTAGGTATTGTCCTACACCTGCAGAGAAATGGCCCACAAACAATTACAATTCAAAATGGTATGTGCTGTTGAACAACGAGATTGCTAATAACGAAGAAACTGTTTCTGTTTCTTTGCAGCAAATTAAAAACAAAATAAGAAAGCTTCTGATTGCACAGTGAGAACAGCACTGTAATTGAATGAGCAGAGATCTAAAGTTGAGTAAGCTGCAGTCAAAGTTGTTTAGGAAAGTAACTTTTAGAGCTTTTCAACAGTACGTTTTGAAGAGGTGGGTCTTCAAGAAATTTATGAAAAATATGTATTATGAAAAAAATGGGCCTAGATTTCAATTATTATTTTTTTCTTTTTTTCACTTACACTCTACTTCCATTTTCCCAAGAACTTCTTGAAGTCCCCTCACATACCTCTGACAACATCATACTCTTAAGTCAACTTTCCTCTAGTTTGTATTGAAGGGCAAAGAACAGGTTAGTTAGCACCCACTACTGACTTCATAAATCACCTTTCTGTTTGAGACCAAGGCACAGAGAAGTGGGTGAGGTAATGCTTAGCTTCTGGCCAACCTCACTGTTTCTTTCATGGGAAAATTGGTTGTGGGGTCAGGAATGTCAAGAGTACTAAAAAGTTAATCCTCTAGGGTATTCTGGTCAAATATAGACCTAGCAAAGGAAGAATGCATAAACTGGTGGGTGTTGAATTCAGACATGATCTGACAGTGATTACTAGGGTCTTTCCAAATTCTAACTGTACTGCATGAAAATCTTTTCTATATATGACTCCTCAGAAAGATACCAGAATCTCCAACGCATTCGCTACAACTGACAGTTCCTTTGTATCTACTCAATCCCATGAAAATTTCACATGAATACACTTTGGTAATATTTTCTATTATTTTCTAATAGAGCCAGAGGTGGAAAGCAAATCTCTTACCTTCAGTTTAAAAAATGACTCCTTATTTCTAAGAGAGGGCTATTTCTTTTGTTAGTGAATATTTAAGCCTAAGAATGAACTACTTACTAGTGGCACTTTTTTTTTTTTTTATATGTCCCCAGTTTTTCAAAGAAGTTGAATCTTTTTTTTTTTTTTCTCCTACAAGCTTAACTCAAGATGCAATATTCCAGGTCTCCTTTACACCAGGCATAGTGCCACCAAAGGAACTTGACAAAGAATAAAATGTAGTGCTTTCCTCAAAAACTCTCAGTATTCTGAGGACAGCAAAGACACTGTCACACAGTGTGGCAAGCGCTATTCCAGAGGGGTGGGCTCAGTGTTCAGGAAACACCATAAGGCCTGGGAGGCTGGCAAACTAGAGGGAGGGCAAGTTAGCCAGATATTAAAGTGTGACAGGATTTTATCACAAATGGAAAGCAGGGAAAAGACCTTCTGGTAGCAAATGGAACATGATAAAAGCTATGGAATACAAAAGAGGAGGAGTCCATAGGGAACAAAGAGCATTTTGTCTCAGGCCAGCTAGGTAGCACAACAATAACACACTGCTTATGTGATTTGGAGTGACATGGAAGACCACGGGTTTGGTTCCCTGTTGAGTACCCATAACCCTGGCTGGCTAGGAAGGGTGGTAGGCAGAGGGGATCAGGCGTGAGACCCTGTTAAGGGTACTTGCCTTTCTCTCTCTCTTACTCTCATGAAGTTTTTAAAAACTTAAACAGGTATTTTGTGGGGCTGAAGGAAGGGGAGAGAAATAATGGAGGATAAAACTGAGAAGATAAATGACAACTAGAATAGGAAGATCTTTATCAGCAACATGAAGAAAGTAAATTTTATCCTGCAGAAAGGACAATGTGGAGCCCTGAAGGTTTTTTAAGGACAAGTGTTGTTAAGATCCAATCTGTGTTTCTGAAGATAAGTGTGGTGACAGACAGGACGACTGAGAAAGGCTAGGAAGTGATGAGAAGGCATTACAAAGCTCAACCAAAGGGCCATTCAGGGTCCATTCATAATACATGGCACTGCCATGGCTCTATGCTTTCAGATGCTCATAAACCTTCCCCCAGTAGGTTCTGAGTTTTTTTCCTTTAGTTACATATCAACACTGATACATATTTTTCCTTCCTAAAATACATCCTCTATGGTTCACAGTCACATTCCACATGATAGACAGTAAACATTTAGGCAAATACTTAAAGATAATCTCTTACCTGAACAAAGCTGTTCCACTTTTGTGTAGTTTAAAGATACTATGTCGTTAACCCATGCAATGATGTCATGTCTGCTCATAGTCTCTTGGGTTATCGAGGTAGAATACACATTGACCGCCATTCCCCAACTGCAAAACAAAAACAAGTTTTTTTTTTTTTTTAAGACAAGGAGAGAATTAACTTAGAAATACAAAAGATAAAGTCAGGCGAGCTCCAGGGGATGCACAAGTCCAGATTAGGCCAAGCCCTGTAGTTTCCCTTTCTTTCTCTCTAGTCTACATATTGGTCATCATACGATTAAGTTTCATATATTTTTTCATGCAGTACAATTTACATCCCCCCCTACTAGATCTAAATGTTCTTCAGGTTCTGACACTCCTAATTAATTACATAATTTAGAGTCTTGCTTTTCACCTTAAGTTGATGTGTGTTGTTAAGTTACCAGGGAAGTCCCAGTGGCCTAATGGATAAGGCACTGACCTCTTAAGCCAGGGATTGTGGGTTTGAGTCTCATCTAGGGTGGTTAAGTATTGGGGCCAGCAGGTGTCATGGTGCTTAAGGTGCTGGATTCCCCCATGGCCAGCTGTGGTTTGACTGTCAGACCCGGTGCCTTGAAAATGACAACAAATAAATAGATATATAAAATAAACTAAAATAAGCTAACAGGTCTATAACAGTGTGCACCAGAATAGTCTTCTAGTTTTAAACATTATTTTATTAGTATTTTCATTACAAGTGCTTGCAAATTGTAATGTATTTTACAGTCTGGCCACTCTAATAGAAATGTAATGAAAAGGATTATTATTAAGAATTTAAACCTGGAGGAAGCTTTGCAATTTTACTAATTTTTGTAGACTATATTTATATATTTGTACATATATGTATATATTATAGATATGCATTAACTTTTTAAAGATTTTATTTTATACATTCAATCACTATACATCACTTAGCTTATAAAGTAAATTTACCCAACATTAATACACTTCACACCAGTCCGGGTGAGGATACTATACACGTTATCATCAACAGATAATAATCTATTTCTGTGTCCCAAAGGACAGGAGAATGGTCGGTTGGATAAGTGCTTGCATAGCTTCGTTTATTGTGGCATTATTCACAATTGCTAGGACATAGAACCAATCCAAATGTCCACGAATAGATGAATGGATTAAAAAGTGTGGCACATAAAATCTATGGAATACTACTCAGCCTTATAAAAAATAACAAGACCCTGGCTATTGATAGAAAGTGTCTGAATATGGGAGATTTACTGGTGAGTGAAGCAAGCCAGGCTATGAAAGAGAGATACTATATGTCTCCATTTGATTTTTGCTGACTGTCCACACTCTATGGCAGAAACTGCAAGACTAAATACGGTTATATTCCATTCTTCAATATCCAGTGTGGGAGGAGGGTGGGAGAAGAGGGAGAGTATAAGAAAAGAAATTATAGAGAAAAATAGAGGCAAGATATGTATTAAGTTATATTTTGGAAAATTTTAACTACATGCAAAAAGAGATAAAATAATCAGGTATGTTTATTTTCTGGCTTCAATAATTATTAATATGTGATCAATCTGGTTTCATTTATATTCCCATCAATTCCCTCTGTTAATCCCACCTTTGAGCCTCTAAAGCAGATTATTTTGGAGAAAATGCCAAATATCACATCATTTTGTCTATAAATATTTTAGTGTGTGTCTCTGAAAGGTAAAGACATTAAAAGAAAAAAAAAACCCACAATAGTACTGAAACATTAAAAAATGAAAATAATTACTTAATATCAACAAATATAATTTTTGTTTCAGTTTGAATATGGATTCTTTGATATCTTTTTAAAAATTATTTATTTTATTATTATTTTAAATTTGCTATGCTCACCAGAGAGAAACTGAGAGAAAGAGAGAGGGAGAGAAAGAGAGAGAGAGAAAGAGTGAGAAAGTGAGAAGCCAGGTCTGGGACGTCAATGGCAGTCAGCCATGTGGCAGTTGAGCACCCTAACCACCACACCACCTCCTGAACCCTTGATATGTTCTTTTAATTTCTGTTATTTATAACTTTTTTTCCTCCATTTTTAGACTTTTCCTGCAATTTGTTTTTGCTGCAATAGAAGGAACTGGGTTAATAGAGTTTCTCTACAATCTGGATGCTGCCCACAGCATTCCACTGGTGTGGTTTAACATGTTCCTCTATCTTCTGTATTCCCATAAACTGATAATTCAGTGTACAGGCTTGACTTGATTTATATATTTGTGGTGTGTGTGTGTGTGAGCGTATGTGCATACACTAGTGTACACGTGCATAGTGCATACCCATGTATTTGAACTTCTGTCAGGAGGCACAAGTGTCTGACTGACTCCTTTTGTGATGTTAGCCATGATGATATTTGCCTAGATCCAATCATTCATGAGAAACTTCAAGGTGATATTCTATTATTCATTCTTGGTTTATTAGCGGGAATAATTCAACAAAAACAAAGTCCTCTCTGAGGTATCCTGGGGTATACTTAAACATAACAGACAAGATAGATGCTTGATTTTTTCCCCTTATTTACCATTTTTCAAGACAATGAGTAGCCCCAAATGTTCTCCAAACAGGATCAATGAGATTTTTGTTTTTATTTTTTGAAGCATAATTATGAACTCTTAGATTTAAACATATTCGATATGTCTCAATCCACTGCAGTTTATTTCTTTTTGACAGAAGTTTACAAGAACTTATTCAAGCTGATTTCTGAGTTCCTTTGAGAAGGTTAAAGTACTAGTAGCCTTTGATAACTTCCTTGCTTTTTGGATTAACAAGATATTCCAGGCTCAACTCATACATTTCCTTCTGCAGACCTAAAACCAGTCATTTCTCCAAGCGATCCTGACTCCTTTTAGTGGCAAATAGTATTTATAGATTAGTAATGTTTTCAAACATGACTAGATATGACAGCAAAATTCATAGCTTATAAGTGTTACAGAAAAATCTACATATTATAAGACAGTTGTGTTTAAAGTTCTTACATACTCTCATTAAAGCAATGAAAATTGGCTTTGTATGTCAAAGTGTCCAATACTTTATTTATGAAGAGAAATAAAACAAATAAATAAATTCTATCCCTCTATCCCAAGATATACCCTCATTGCTAAATTCTCTTCCGAAAATCTGAAAAACCTCACAGCATTAGGATCTCAGACAACGTGACCATAATTACTACTTTTCTACACTATTATTAAAGGTTTTTGTTTTTGGTTAATAACTTCCACTGTCTTACTTAGTCTATAATTTTTTAAACAAAACCATTTGCTTTTAAAAATCCAGTCAATTTATGTAAATCACATAAAACCTTGGAAAGGATAAATAATCCAAAATTTGAAATATTTTGGACCATTTGATGTAACTTTCATATACTGGCAAAATTTTTGGCAGCTGATGTGTTTTTCTAATTTGTTTTTCTTCAGGCAGTAATAAGGAGCTTTTGTATCACCAGGCAGTCTATCGATGGAGCATGAGGTGTCGAGGTGCAGAATTATGCAAGATGGCCACCAAACCAAACTAAGCTGAAATTTTTGCTCCAGATGATTTAAAACCAAACTAAACACAAAGAAGGGAAGACACAAACAGCTCTGTATTTTAAATAGAAAGTCTAGACACAAAGGGAGTAAAAATCTTGGGTAGTTACATAAGAGAAAGAAATACACAAAAAAGGACAGACAGAAGAGTTATGGCAGCTTTTTAAAAAATCTATGAAGCAAGGAAGCAAGTCATCTGCTGCAGTTTGCCCATGAGTCACACGTTCCTCGTTTCTTGGCCTTGAAGATAACATTCGCCTAAGGACAACAGTGCCCTTTGGTGCTCTAAACAGACACTGAGTCACAAAAGCAGTAAAGGCTCTATCTGCATTTCAAGGAACTCAATAAGATGACCAGGTAAACAATGAAAAAAGCACTTAGATTTGTGTTTTAGACAAAGCTGTGGTTAATTAATTACTAGAGTGCACTCTCCTTTATCTCCTCCCTACCTAATAGAGATACAGTCCCCAGGAAACCCAGGCAGTAGGAACAGCCACGTGTTAGGAACTTGTGGGAAAAGTAGGTTAGAGAACAGACCCAGGCTATGGGTGAACCATGGACATTAGGATTTTTGTTTTAACATTTCCTAAGATAAAGCAATGATAGCATGTTAAATAGATTTCAATATCTACTTCAAAATAATAGCAATGGAATCAATAAAGTTAATTTCTATTTACCATCCAGGCAGATTAGAATATTCTTCTTCTATTAAGAATTATTTAATTTTATTTATTTACTCATTTATTTTTAATGTGACCAGAGAGAGAGAGAGAGAAAGTGAGAGAAAGCAAGATTGGAATATTGTTATAATCTATCTTCCTCTTCCAAATTTCGTCAAGAAACAGGTTGAGTATCTCTCATCTGAAATATTACTACTTGGAACCGGAAGTATTTTGGATTTCTTCAGCTACTGGAATATATACACAATCAGATATCTCAGAGATGAGATCCAAGTCTAAACACACAATTAAGCTATGTTTCATATACATCTTACACACATAGCTTGAAGCTAACTTTATATAATATCTTTGTATTGCAAGACTGTGACTGCAATGTATCACATGAGGTCAGGTGTGAAATTTTTCACTTGTGGTATCCTGTAAGAACTCAAAAACCTGTGGATTTTGGAGCAGTTTTGGATTTAAACTTTTTGTATCAAGGATGCTTAACCTGTACTTCTAAATTCATTTCAGTCTGTGGCTATCTTTTTTGCTCCCTGTGCTGATTCCCCATCCAAATGTGCCATGTCTCCTGAATGGGGCCTGAGAGCTGTAGGTCTAGGCTTCCTCTCCATGGAAGGGGAAACACCCTTCTGAGCCTCCAGTAAGCCAGGTGGTGGTCCAAGTGAAACAAGAATTCTATGCCTGCTCTGCCAGCCATGCTCTTCTCTTCCCAATCCCTTCAGCCTCCACTTTTCAACTGGCACAATTACAGTACTCAAACAAAAATTATCCAGGTGACCACAGAAGAAAATTTATATTTTAACAAATGTTATAATCAGGTGAGAGAGTATTAAATAGCCCTAATCTTTCCATGGACACGCTCTAAAAATTTATCACTTCATTATAA